GAGGAAGATGGGCACGGATGTTAGCCCAGGGCCAGTCTTCCTCAGCAAAAAGAGGAGGATTGGCAGATGTTAGCTCAGGGCAGATCTTCCTCACACACACACACAAAAAAAGAACTTTTGACAATATGTAAGAAAATTACTCTGACTTATTTTTAACTAATTTTTTAAAAATTTAATTTGTGAATTTTAGACACAGGAGAGTAAAAAGTAGAAACACACCAGGGCAGAAACTAAGGACACATGACAGCTTACAGAAAGCTGTAGTGACTATAAAGAATTACAACTATGAAGGCATGAAACAAGGGAATCCAACTTAAGCTTAGGAAGTGAGTCAGTCTTAACCTTGTCCTCAAGAATTCACAGGCAAATAAGAGTGGATGCAAAATGAATAAAAGACAGAGGAGAGGAAAAAACATCTAAAAAATTTTAAGCAAATATCTTATTTCTGGGACTATATTATTTATTCTACAAAGTTACTTTTTAATGAACATAATATATCTCAGTTTTACAGTTAAAAAAACAATTTGTCCAGAGTCATAAAAATACCAACTGTGCCAGCCAATTTCATATCTAGCTACCTAATTCCAAATAACATCCACTTGTTAACTGCCAGAAACTATGCTAAGGAATAAGGATAAATAAAACAAAGTCCTTGTTCTAAAGACAATCACAATCTCCGAAAAGATACTCAACATTCCTGTAATAATCTCATTGTACAGCTATTAGCGATATGAAGTAAAAACACAGGAATATTAGGTAGAATGTGAATTATGCCACCCCAGATGTGAAAATTTAGGAGAATTCATAAGAATATGATTATTGTTACTTAGAGTGAATGTTAAAAACAAATAGAATTTTACCAAGTACATAAAGAAGGGAAAGTCATTCCAGACAGATGATCTGCAAGGAATAAGAGAAATACAATGCCTGGGGCCGGCCCTGTGGCTTAGCGGTTAAGTGCGAGCACTCCCCTGCTGGCGGCCTGGGGCTCGGATCCCGGGTGCCGGCGCGCACCGACGCACCGCTTCTCTGGCCATGCTGAGGCCATGTCCCACATACAGCAACTAGAAGGCTGTGCAACTATGACATACAACTATCTACTGGGGCTTTGGGGGAAAAATAAATAAATGAATGAATGAATGAATGAATGAATGAAAGAAAGAAAGAAAGAAAAAGAAATACAATGCCTTGACCCTGAACTTGAGATGTTATCACCAATAGTTACCTCCAAAGAAAAGGAGAGGTAAAAAGGTATCTTTAAAGGTACATATTCTACAGAATATTTTAATGGCTATTGTAAAGTCACACTAAGAAAAAAATTTAAGAGTAAAGAGTAATGATTATTACTGAATATGAGTTCATTTCTGAGAATTATTTCAGTGAAATTCTAGATTTTTGAAATACTAAAAACTGATTATATAAATGGATATCCAAATGATCGACGAGTAGGAAAGAGCTTGCCAAGCATGACACAAAATGCATAAGCCATAAAGCAAAGTCCAAAAAAATCCAACAATATAAAATTTTTTAATGTCTGCACACGAAAAAAGAAAGAAAGAAGAAATACTTGCTACGTATATGAAAGACAAAAGACTTCCTTAAAATGCAAAAAGCTCTTACAACTCAGCAATAAAAAAGACAAAAAACATGCAAAGGACAAACAAGCTACTTACAAAAAAATAAAAATGTTTTTTCAACATATGGAAAGGTAACAATACACCTTATGGAATGGCACTAAAGTTTGATAGAACTCAGTATTGCCAAATAAGTGGAAAACAGATATTTCCTACACTGGTGGAAGGAATGTGTGGGAAAATTAACAAGATCTAAAAACTTAAATGCCATATACCCTTTGATCTATCAAATCCACTTCCACCAATTTACTCTCCAGTCACAAGGGATGTTTGTTTCACCACTGTTTTTAATAGCAAAACAAACATGAAAAGGCACGCTGACAACAGTCTGAAATCTATTAGGCATGATGGAGAGAGAAGGAGAAACACAGGACATATACACACATTTTTCACACTAGACCTTTCTATGCTACTCTAACTTTTACATAAACGTATTTCTTTTACAATTAAAAACTCAAATCTAATTTTAAAAAATCTTAATTAACCGACTTGAAATATTTATCGAGTGCCTACTCTCTACAATTCATTGTGGTAGGGAAGAATGGCAAATATGACAATTCGGATTTGATTTCTTGACTTCAAGGAGTTCGTAACCTGGCCTGGAGACATGAGATAAACCAGAAAACAAAATATAAGGTTGAAAGAAAATCATTAAGTACCTAACACCAAAGACTTCAGAATAAACAAGTTTTAAAATCAGTCTCCAGTGGATTTAAACAGCTTAAATTGTGAAATGGTGGCCCCAAATAAGCTAATACCAACCTTCAGATTTGTTTTAACATGCAATGTTTTGAAAACTGAAAAATTGGTTTACTATACATTTCCAGCTTCTCTTATAAATATCAGAAGATATAGCAACACAAAATGCATGCATTCCCACATGGCAACCAGAATAAAGCCGAGCAGCATCTGTTCCTTTTATAGAAAGGCACCATGTGCCCTCCCATCCCTATCTTGTATATCCCAATCCACCTAATCATGTACATAATCTGCTTGGTTTGTGTAAGCATGTAAGTTTCTTAACCCTGGCACAGAAATGGTGGTAACAATGACCAAAACTACAAACACAAGAAAGTACAGTAAGTTCATATTTATGAAAGACTTTGAAAATTAACAAGATGGTAAAGCAAATGGGGATAAGTCAAGCTAAAGCAAATGGGGATAAGTCAAGCTAAAGGAAGACTAAGTATTAATATCAAGCTAATTTAAGAAATTTATAGTTGAGTCATTTAATGGCCCTGTCCAGTAAACATCCTGATCTTCAGATCAATTTTTAGGTGGTGGTTGTATGCTAAATGGATCACCATTATTTTATATATTAAACATAAAGGGGGAAGTGCCGATTATCATAGTATGACACCATCTATTTTAATCCTCATCTCAAAGGCATCTTGGAGTCATGAAAAATGGGGTGGGAGGGTGGGGCAGTGCTTAAGAATAAGTAAAAGTTACTTGAGAGATTTACAGCAATTTCTGAAGCAGTGTAGGGTGAAATCAATCTGAGCCACAAGTACTCATTTGCATAATACTAAGTTATTTGTTTTTCCTCATTCATTTTTAAGTGTATATTTACCTACATGTTTTAACTAATTAAAAAAAATAAAGCAAGTGGCTATCTTTAATAAGCATCTTCACAATACCCAATACTTGATATTTCAGGCTATTTATCTGGACTAAAGTCTACAGTTTTCTTTTTTTTTTTTTAACAAGACTAACTCTATCCAACAGGCTAACCAACTCTCCAAAGAGTAATCTATTGTGCAAAACTGAAAAGGCTGTGAGTATACTGCTTTCTGGGAGATAATTTAGGGGAAACTTCTTGCCTTATTATATTCAGGCATACAAAGTTTAAGTCAACTATTCAGAGTCGACCACTAGAGCCACAAAGGTGAGAGGTCCTCAAAGTGATGTACGAGGAGTGAAAAACAGCATTGTGAACAAAACATCAACATGTGAGAGGAGACTGAAAACGAAATTTCTGAAAGCTGGCATCAGAATTAATAGCAATATAAAAGCTTAAAGATTTCAATTAAGAAATGGTCACTGCTTTCAAATTTTACAAAAAGGTCAAGGAGAGTGTTATGTATCAAGAATTCCTTTATATCAGACTGTTGAGAGGAAATTCTACAGCTTTACACTCTAAGTACAAAAAAAGAACTGTTAAGATTATCAAATTGAAACCTTTTTATCAAAAATTGACTTTTTTACTGCAGTACTGAGAAACCAACCAAGAACCCAAGGCCCACAACTCAAAGATGACTTGTTTTCTAAGTGTGTATTATAAGGGACAGAATTTTTTAAAAAAGAGAAAAATCCACTGCCTCAGAGCGTAAGTAGCTCACTAGATATAACTTTCCAGAACAATTTCCAAAACATAAAATAATATTGTAAGTCAGCCAAGAAAAGAACATGAAAAAGAACAGGCAAAGTATATTACATTTTAAATACTTACATCTTCTCTAGGTAGTTTATTTTCATTGTCTCCTTCAATTCTCACTCGAACCACACCAGATTTGTCCACTATTTCTTGAATAACTTTGCCATTTTTTCCAATTACTTTTCCTTTAATAAGAGAAAACAAATCTAATAAGTTAAAAATCAATACTGCTTTCCTTTCAAGACCAGCCCAAATTATTTAAGACTTGCTACCAAATTATAAAAACCAAGCAAAGCTCCATCTTTTTACTCTCAATTAATTCACCGTAAAGACTACTGAGAAATTTTATCCTTGGTCTAAAATGTCCTTCTCTTCAGTATGCCTACGGCTATTAATAACTGGGACTGACAATGTTGCTCACATGTAAGACATTTTCAAAGTCTAAATGATTTTTACTATGTTATACATCATTTTTATATTTTTAAAATATCAAGTGCAACTCATTTCAAAAGCTTGGATATATAAATAAAAGCAAAAAGAAAATTATTTTAACATTAATCATATTTGTTATTCTTTGGTATTCAAAAAAGTAACAGTCATCAATCTTGCTTTTATTTTCAAGTTTCTATCTGTTCAAAAGATACCTGTGACTTGAAGATACTTTTAAAATGAATATTCTCTTCACTGAAATAAAATGTTTATGTTTAACAAGTATTACATTTGCAACAAGAAATTTTTAAAAGTACTTCACAACTATACAAATACATGCAGCATGTATATGGTATGCTTGCTTCCTAGATGTGAAATACTGTAAAATGACATAAAATCCAAATTATTTACCTTCTCTACACTTAACTTGTAAGTCTGTCAAACAGTAGTTATTGAGTATCCAATAATTAAAGAAAGAAACTAAATGGGAGTTACGAAGACTCTCTTCCCCTTAGGAACTTACTAGTTATAAAGATAAAAATAACATACACTCATAAAATAACAAAGTAATACTGGGTAGTGTTACCCGGTAACAGAAGTAAATATGCAGGTAACCTTCACTACATGGAATAGATGTATCCCTTATAAAGTTAACAGCAACACCACATTTGTTATTAAGTCCAAATCCCCATTTTTTTTTTTTTTTTTACTAAATCAGCAATCTATTTCCACAATAAATTTTGGTTGAAAAAGGTATAAAATGGAAGTTTTTCCTACTGCAAGCTTGAGAGAACAGTTTCCATTAAATAATAAATAAGGGAACAATGGCAACAGTAAGTTGATCAATACAGCAAAGACACTATTACAGGATTTTCTATCCCTATTCTCAAACCTCCTTAATTTACAAGCAGCCGCAATTGAACATGTAAAAGAAAAAAACAGAGTAGGACAGCGAATTCACACGATGTATGTCTTCTCTGAGCAGCCCTAGTAGCAGCATATAAAAGCTGCCTTCACTGTTAACACAGTGAGGTTCAAGCAGCAACTCCATCCTTGACCCTGCTAAAAATAAGCAAATATCTTTTCGACAAAACAAAATCAGGTTGATATACCATAATTCCTCCCCCAGGATCTTTGCCCCTTTCTTCTTGTGAACTATACCAGTGGTGAGTGAACATCCATCACCCTTCTGGGGTCCATGGCAGGGACCTACCTGCAAGTTTTATTTAGTCCCATCAGAGACTGTCAATATTTTAACTGATCATTTCCATAGTTTAAATTCCAAAGCATACTGACAAACTGAAGCAGACCTGTAGCATAAATTGAGCATTGAGCATAAATACTGAAGGGACAGAGTAGAGAAGTGATTAAGGAAGGCTTCCAGGAGTTAAAAGGTTTCAATTCATTTTCAATTCATTTTCAAATCAATGTTCACATTTTTTCTTTTGATTTGGGATGGGTGGGAATGGTCCAGTTCTTATCTTGGAACCTGAATGCGTAAGGAAATCCTTCTCTGGAACTTACCCACCAAGTAGTCCTCATTCCCTTTTACATCTCAGTCCTCTTTTTCTCTTTCACTTGGACTAAGAATGTACTAAAGATGCTTCACCCATAAAACATTTTGGAGGGAAATGCATTATACACAACCAGTTGAAATCTTTACACTACTTCTGAGTATTTCACCAATGTATAATAGCTGCTGTTAATATACATTTCCTAAAGAGTATACCAATAACCCAGATCACCAAAGCCAAACAAGAGAGGGTAGAGGAAAAAGGGGACACGACAGGTACTCACATCATTGCACTAACAAATGAATAAAGAGAAGAATCAGAGAAAACCACATATATATCCAATTTCCTTATTTCTGAAATACCAGGAATTTTTACTCAAAATTAACAATACTACAAACCCTATAAGACCAAGGCTATCTTCTATAAAATTGTTGAGTTTAAAATAACCCTGATTTCCTTGTACACACTCACCACCAAATCATTTTTACAAGCGAAGACATCTAAGTTAAATTATGTTCCGTGAAGCAGCAACCACAATGTTAGTACTCATAGGTGTCAATAACTGAGAGTGATTTAAACAAAAAAGGGGATCATATTCAAAAGCAGCTTTCTTGTCAAAGGTTATCATCGTTAACAATGATAAACATTTGATAACATTTTGTTATCAAATGTTTATTAAAATTATACAAAATTCTTCAAGCTTATATTCAATTTTAACATTTCAACTCATTTCTCCAGCAGTTCAGTCTACAATAAACAGTGGTTTCCAAGAACAGATACTATGGAGCTTACTTAACTGGCAGTATGTCATACCTATCCAAATGTCTAGGCAAAACAAAAAAGCTTTTTATATAACTAACAGTTGAATACCAAGAAATTGTCCAAATTCTTGTGTTGTAGACTACTGTCCCAGAGAATACTACTCGTTACTGGCCAAAACAAACATCTTTCTATAGTGCGTTTGGTTTGTTTTTTTGTTTTGTTTTTAATTTTCTCCTACATGTCTGTTTTACAGACTTTGACAAATAGAACACCTATAGCAAAGAAATTATTTCCCAAAGGCAGAACAGGCCTAATTATATATAAATGGAGCCCAAGGGGCTCTAACTATTCCAATAACGTCAAAAAACTAACGAGACGCAATAGGTGACAACTCATCCCTCTCTTAGTAAATGTCACTGTGTTGTGTTGAAGCTTTTGTATTAAACTTTTAGGATAATCACGTGACCAAAGCTTTCCCATTTGTCTCAAATAGCACTGAAAATTAAGGATAGCACAGATGTAGGGGATATTAATAACAAAGCTATTAAACTACTCATCTCAAGCTATAAAGCTCATTTACAGCTTCCAACTCAAAAATTTTTTGTCACTTAACTTACAACTCACAGGTAAAATAGTTTTCATTAATGTGTCAAAAACTTAGCAGTGAAACCTCCCCTCATATTATCACCATCCTTCTCTTCCGCCCATGACTTCTTACCTTATTCTATGCCTTTGCAACAACCAATTATTATTTATTCAGGGCCTACTGTGTAAGTTTATTACCCTATTGTTAGTCCACTCTTACTTTTTCTTCTGCACTAAATAAAAGAAAAAAATTATCACAAACATCTTCTCAAAAAGTACGACGACAATTTCGATGTGTATGAATGATAAAAAGACATTAAGAAAATGAGCAAGAGCCCAAGGGATGAAAAGGCTTAAGAAAAACTGTAATAATAACAAACTGTCATAAAAACCATGGGTCTTATTAGTGCATCACCCTGTATAGAAGAAAGAAAACATCTTTACTTTTTAATATGACAATAACAAGTCACATACAATGTTATCACTAAGAGAATGAAAACAAGGACTGCTATCCAAATGCTCCACATGAGTAAAATAAGATATCAGAGAAGACTGATTTTCAATTAAGTCACTGTATGTAATTAAATAACATTTAACTTATTTAACATTTAGTAATAAGTACCTACCAACAAGATTCCTAGGAACCTGAATAAAATCTTCCACAAATTCCAAGAAACCTCTAGCCTTTTTTACAGCATCAGCACTCTGTAGAAGGAGAAAATAAATATGAAATACAACCATGAAGAAACCCACAATCCAAAACAAAAACAAGAAAAATCTGAATTATTATGCTCTAGTACAAGATTCTGCTCAACCCACTGGAGTGACATTTCAGGTCAACTAATTCATGAAGTACTAAAAAAAAAAAAATTAAGAGTAATCATTAAAAGTCTAGGAAAAAGGTACTATTAAGAACCAAAACATGTTAGGACATCTTTAAGGTCCCTTTTAAGCTCCTGAGAAAATCAGCAAAGAATTTAACTTATTTATGTTAGCCAAATTTTAACCCACTCCTAAATACATTTCCCATGTTGAATTTCTCCAAGTGAATGTTAAAAGCAAACTGTTCATATTGTCTATATTGTCTGCATTGTTTTTTCATTCTCAACATAAAAAATGATTTAAAAAGCTATTTTCACAGAGATGCATTTAAAAAAAGTAACTACTGATAAGATCATTAAAAATTCCTAATTTCTAATGAGTACAATTTTAAAAGAAGATAGGGGAGAGGTCTCTCTAAAGGGAATTTACAGTTCTCAGTAACAGTTAACTTCCACTTTTAATGTTCATTCTTTAATAACAATAGATCAAGTATTGTGTGCTCATTATATTATATACCATATACAATAAAAATTTTAAAACCATATTTAATCCTCAAAAACTGTAAGGTAAGCACCATTATTATTCTCATTTTACAATGAGGAAAATTAGGGGCCGGCCCGGTGGCACAAGTGGTTAAGTGCTCGCGCTCCGCTTCAGTGGCCCAAGGTCCGCGGGTTCAGATCCCGGGCATGCACCGATGCACTGCTTGTCACGCCATGCTGTGGGGGTGTCCCATATAAAGTAGAGGAAAACGGGGCACAGATGTTAGCTCAGGGCCAATGTTCCTCGGCAAAAAAAAGGAAGATCAGCATCGGATGTCAGCTCAGGGCTGATCTTCCTCACAAAAAAAAACAATGAGGAAAATTATGCATGTAAATGAGGAAAATTATGCATGTAAATAACTTGCTCCAAGCCCACTCAAAGTGGGAGACACAGAATTCCAATTCAGGGAGTACCGCTCCACAGCCTTTCGCCTTAATTACTTGGTTATACCGCCCACTTCTGAAGGTTTCAGAAATAAAAATCAGGCCTCTTACACCGATTTCCTATATAACTGATGCTTTTCAAAAGAAGACCTACATATGAAAAGTCAAGACTTGAAATTATCACCCCCCAAAAAAACTCATCCATTTATTCTAATGTGAAGGATGGTCTCAATGAAAAGTCTGCATTATTTATTTTTCAGATTTATTATTTTCCTGTCCACGCAAATGTCACAATTAACCAGTGACAAAACATTATCCAAATTCAAGTTCTACAAAAGCCATTCTATGCTATTTACAACTGCTAGTGCCTCACACATAGCAAACCCTCAAAAAATAACTGAATAAACTATTTGTAATGCAGATAAAACTGAGTTAAACTCAGAAGCAGTTGGTTAAAAGAACTTCCAAAAACAGTACACATTAACTTTCATTATCTCATATGATACAATATCATCTTCAATTCATTTGTATATGTATAATGATTACTAGGACTGACTGATTGTAAAGTGTTTCACTAGGAAACTGGAATTCCAGGTAAAATAAGATCAAACAATAGTTAATAAGTTATAGTAAAGTTACCAAAGTGGAGGACAAACAGCAGCTTACCTCTCCATAGATTCTAAACGTTCCAGTATCTTCATCCAGCTCAATAGCTGTAACTCCAGGAACCTTCCTAGCTTGCTGTATGTTACTACCATGTGTTCCTATTGCCAGGCCCATCAAATCTTCTCTCACAACAAATTCCTCATGAAAAGCTGCTGCAAGTTGTTTTGTACACTAGTAAAAGAGGTAAATTAGAAATTATAAAAATGCTCAAAAACAAAAATGGTTTTTTTGTACACCCATGTTCATAGTATTATTCACAATAGTCAAGAGGCAGAAGCAACTTGATGTCCACTGAATGATGTATGCATAAACAAAATGTGATATATGCATACAATGCAAAATTATTCAGCCTTAAAAAATTCTGACACATGCTACAACATGGATAAACATTAAGGACATTACGCTTATTGAAATAAGCCAGTCACAAAAAGATTAATACCATATGATTTCATTTATATGAGATATCTAGAGTAGTCAAATTTACAGAAAGTAGAATGGTGGTTGCCTGGGGCTGGGAGCAGGGCGAAATGAGAAGTTGTTCAGTTTTGCAAGATGAAAAAGTTCTGGAGATTGGTTGCTCAATAATGTAAATATACTTAAATTAACACTACTGAACCGCACACTTAAAAATGATCAAGATGGTCAATTTTATGTTATATATCTTCTACCACAATTAAAAAAACAAAAAGAACTAAGAAAAAAAAGGAATAAAAGAAACTCATTTGGGGTCATATAACAGAACGGGAAAAAAACAATTTGATCAGTCTATTTAATCATAGTCACAGAAAAGAGTAATTCAAAAATAATTTTTCAGAATTACTGATACAGGGAATTCCCCAATTCAGATGATTCATGTTTCAAAACTCATTCACATATCCCTCATTTGGAACTTTTAAATTAATAAGGCTATCTGCAAACCTGTCCTAAAGATAAACATACCTCAATTTCCCTAAGACGGTGTGTGCTTGCATGGGGGCTGGGGGCAGACAACAGACAGAAGTCTCCTAATAGTGTGGCAGTGAAGAACAGGAGAAAACAGGAGCACGTTACGACAGGACAGAGAAGCAATGATAGGCTTTTTAAAAAAACTGTATGCTGTGTGTCATCCTCTCCTCTTACACAAGAGTTATTACAGCGAACTACTTACTAATGGAAGTGTGTTGTGACTGACAGGTGACAGGGTATTAAAAAAAAAAAAAAAAAGGTTAAGACCAGAGTAAAGAACTAGCAGTACAGTTCTACTGGATATCCCTAGTGAGTATCTAAGATCTTTGGCATCTAAGTCCTAACAAAAAACTCAACAAGCATTTAGCAAACGAAAGGCTCTGTTTGAGAAAAGTAATAGAAAAAAGCAGTTCTTCAAAGGACACAATGACTCCAGGTCCTAAGTCGCCTTACCTTATAGTCAAGTAGTCTGATCCAGGAAACTTTAACAATATACTTATGAAACTAAATGACACACAAAAAACCTTTTATGAGTAAACCCACTTACTTCTAAATGCTTAGTGGCCTCTTCATTTCTGGACATAAGCATCAACTTCGTACGAATACTTCGCAAATGCATGTCACTTAAAATATTTACTCTCTTCACAGTTGCTTCACTGGCAGACTATAAACAAACAAGTTAATCACTCAAAAACTTAATCATTCTTCAAGATAATACACACACGACCTTCCACACAAACCCTTCTTTGATTCTCTTCTACCTCACTCCTCTCCTCACCTGACATTCCCTCTTCCACAAGTAATCTCACTTTCCTTTCTGAATTTCCATTTTATTTAGATCTGCTAATCAAATTATGATGGTGGGGTGGCGGGAGGCCAGGATCCCACACATTAAGAATTTTATGATAACATCATATTAAGATTTTTCCTCCCTACTCTAGAAGAAATTAAAAAATTAACATTTTACAACTGCAAAAACAATTTTTCTCCTACTATATTAATAAATTCACTATTCACCAAGTTAGCTTCTACTATTCACCAAGTTAGCTTCTATCTTTTGGAACATTTTTACCTTTTGAAATATCTGTGCACTATCCATTAGCAAACTGAAAATAGGGAGTTATCTTACCAGTATCATTAGCTGTGTTGTTTCCGGATGGTAAAAAATTCTGCATGCTCCTACTGCTTTCTTAAAATCTTTATGTGCATTTTCATTAGCACACCTATGGAGAAATTAATTCAAGTGTAAGACTTAAATAACAAATTAAATTTAGAGTGCAATTATAATGCAAGCTCAGTATTTCACTTTAACAATACCCATTAAAACTTTTGTTTACTAAAAAGATCTTGTATCACAAGTTTTTGATGGGGCATTCTGGGAAAAAAGATTTTTGGAGCACTGAAAAATCCTCCTAACTCACAAAGCAATTCAATAGTAAACAAAAATTACTCACGCCTCTCTCAAATCCTCAGGAACATCCACTGTGCATTTAAAGAAGGTATTTTTTTTGACAGTTTTATTTTGATTGACAGGCCGAAGTCGTTCAAATGTGACTATTTCATTGTAAGTGGCATCACAAGCAGCATATTCAATGACATAAAACTAAAAGACATCAAAATACTTTAAAAGTCCCATCTGAACAAAAATAATGAACATTAAATGAAGTTCTAATTACCTTGCTGGCTTAACCAGCAGACCCTCCCCCTTGTGGCACAAATAACTAAGAACAGCTTATTTATTCAATCTGATTTGCCTAAACTAGATGATAGGTTCTTACAAGCGCCAACCTTGGTGGTCCTCACACACTTGGGATGTACTTCTGGAGAGCAGCTTTGGTATTTGCAAATTCAGAACACAAACAGAAATTAATAGTCTGATGAATTTTTGAAATGTGTGATCAACTATTTCTGAAGTAGGGCTTTAGAAACAAAGCTAAGAGTTGGAGTGATATTTACAGAAACCGAGAGTTGAGGTATTTCCTTGGAAACTAGTGACAAAGCAAGTATTAACATCACTTACTTCTCCTTTCATCATTCGAACTTTAGCCAACCACCATCCACATGGTTCTTGGTCATTTGCTCTTGAATATACCTGAGAGGGAAAAAAAAATCTACTTATCCATTCATCCCAAAAGATTTCAACACTGTAAATAATGACTCATAAATGTTAAATCTCGTTAACCTCAACAATCAAAAAATGTTATTGTATTGAAATTGGTGTACTAAACGTAGTTTAATGAAGAGTTACGCACACTTAAATTTTACTACTGAAAAAGACTGAACCCTTTATGAGCAATTTGGCTCCTTCAAAATCGAATTCCGAATTTGGGGGGTTTACTAAACATAAGTATCATTTTAAAGAAATGCTTCTTACATGGCAGTTTTACATAGTGTAAAATATAAATCCGTTTCTGTCAACATTGTTCATATTTAAGCATTGCATTCTGATGATTCACGTATGAGAAGGATAAGCTAGAACTTACTAGAGATGTATTTTAAATCTATTATCAGTATTTAGATGTTGAAATCATGAACTGATTTTCAGAAAGTGATAAACCCAGTTTTAAAATTCCTTCAAGGATATGACATTTAGATCCCCTGCTGAGGAACCTAAACCAAATGTGCTAAAAATGTTTAGTTGAACAAAAAATGACACACATTTAGTCCATTTAGCAGAATATTTATCTTACAAAACCTCCTAGTCAAAAAATTTATATCTTATATGCTCTGTATCTGTAATTATCAGATTTTTTTTAATATAATAATGGAAACATTAGAGAAGTTTCCATTAGAGATTAAAGTTATTTCTTACGTTACAGCAGCTTGTTCGATGTATTTTCAATACATGGGGCAGTGGGGACGCCTGGGAAGAGATGACTTAAGAAGTACCCTCACAAAAATCCTGATTATATGAACTAAAGTTGCCCTCGCAGAGGTGGCCAGAGAAACCTACCAACACAAATTAACAGCCATCTGTGAAATCAATGCAAATAACTATTGATAGGCAAATAGTTTTGGAAGGCCTGAAGCTTCTATCAAGATGATCTGAGAGTAATCTTGGAACTGGTGGATACTGGAACTGTAAATGAAGAAGCCAAAACCTTGTGATCAATTTCACTGCGCACCAGGATTAGAAAAAAGCTATGTGGGGAAAAAAAGGTCTATACCAATCAGGCTCCAGTGGACTCAATTTTAGCTTCTACATTTCTTTTATGAGCAAATATATCTATTTCATGACTCTGTCCTTTCTTATAGGTCTTCCAAAAAACAAGAAATTTTACTGTTTTATAATAGAATAAAACTCATTCTATTGTGCAATTATTATATGTATCCAGTGGGCCCTTTTATAAATCTAACGTAGAATCTAATGATCTTACTTTTCCTATATCTTTTTTTTTTTTTTGTGAGCAAGATCAGCCCAGAGCTAACATCCATGTTAATCCTCCTCTTTTTGCTGAGGAAGACCGGCTCTGAGCTAACACCTATTGCCAATCCTCCTCCTTTTTTTCCCTTAAAGCCCCAGTAGATAGTTGTTTGTCATAGTTGCACATCTTTCTAGTTGCCGTATGTGGGACGCGTCCTCAGCATAGCTGGAGAAGCAGTGCGTCGGTGAGCGCCCGGGATCCGAACCAGGGCCGCCAGTAGCAGAGTGCGCGCACTTAACCGCTAAGCCACAGGGCCGACCCTTACTTTTCCTATATCTTAAAACACTATGCTATTTCATTATCATTCATCAATTATCCCCAACTACGCCTTTAAAAAAGTCTAAAACAGAACAATGATGGTATCACCTGAAAGGATACAACAGTGAAATATATCGTTACTACTGCATCATCCTCTAGTTTCTTTACTGCCCCATCTTTCAAGAAAGTATAAAAAGACTGGAGATACAATTCTTGTGGTCTGCTTCTGGCTATCGCTGAACAGTTAACAATTAAGAATTTTTATTTTCCATCTATAATTGCAAAGATAAAATTTACAGGGGAAGAACTCTCACAATTATTAGAGGAATCAGAATGATGCAAAGAGGCAGACAACAGCACTCTCGATTTTAATAATGAATGTGAAATTATAAGCAGAATTTCAGACTATGAAGTCTTCAGATGACATCCTAGATGAATATTTTTCAACAATATACTTCTGAGGAGAAAAAAGAAATTTAGTATTCACATCCAGTTAAATCATTCAACTCAGACAAAATCTTAGGACAAGAATCTAGACCATTGTTTTTCAAAAAGAACACATGACAGCATTCTTTCATCTTTTGTCTTTCCACACCAAAATGTACTCGATACAGTTCATAAGCAGACAAATACCAAAAGCAGTTGTGCATACAAAGATGACCAGAAACAAACAGATGAAGAAATGCAAAAAATTCAATGGATGAGTCAATCCAATTGGTTAAATATGAAAATGATGCAATTATAGTGCAAAGACAACTATGCTCTCTGTTCAATAAAATTAGAAGCCACCAAAAGTTCCAAAATATTTTTTTTTTTTGAGGAAGATCAGCCCTGAGCTAACATCCATGCCAATCCTCCTCTTTTTGCTGAGGAAGACCGGCCCTGAGCTAACATCTACTGCCAATCCTCCTCCTTTGTTTTACCTTTTTCTCCCCAAAGCCCCAGTAGATAGTTCTATGTCATAGCTGCACATCCTTCTAGCTGCTGTACGTGGGATACTGCCTCAGCATGGCCGAACAAGCAGCGCGTCGGCGCGTGCGTGCCCAGGATCCGAACCCAGGCCGCCAGTAGCAGAGCATGCACACTTAACCACCAAGCCACGGGGCCGGCCCCCAAAATATTCTTGAAGTATTGCATTCTGATAATTCAAGTATAAGATGAACCATAAAAAAATTACAAACTAGAACTTACTAGAGATATATTTTAAATTTGATGTCAGTAATTTTAAGATAGACATGTTCTGGGTTTATGCATGATAGCTGAGGAGCAGTAAGTAATATTTAAAGAACTTTACTCATTTTAGGTATATGTATTGTCAAAAATCAGGAAAAAAATGGAATAAAAATTTGTATTTGCTATGTTTAAATGCTTATTAAGGGCCGGCCCCGTGGCTTGGCGGTTAAGTGCACGCGCTCTGCTGCTGGCAGCCCGGGTTCAGATCCCAGGCGCGCACTGACCCACCGCTTCTCTGGCCATGCTGGGGCCGTGTCCCACATGCAGCAACTGGAAGGATGTGCAACTATGACATACGGCTATCTACTGGGGCTTTGGGGGAAATAAATAAATAAATAAAAATTATTAAAAAAAAAATGCTTATTAAAATACCTAATAATGTTGACCGTCACCATCCTTTTATTCTTACTTCTGTAAAATTATATGTAAAATGACATAAACAATAAAAATAGTCCATTGGACCCAAATGACAAATGATGATGACTATTTCCCCTAGAATAATGAGGATTAAAAAAACAAAGGGAAAACCTTAAGAAAAACAAGGAAAGTGCCCATTACAAGTTCTATCTCAGAAAGGCAGTTCAGCTAAGCAGACTGGAATACCTCTCGGTGATCTACAGTGGATGGGGTCCCTCAAGCTTGAATGCTGAAAAAGCTGGTCTTAAAATTACGTAAATCCCTTTGTTCTAACTCTATGTCCACCAAAGCATTAACCTTCTAGGAATCTGGCTTCCTATGTAAGGTTACCTACAAAAAAGAGAATAAACCATTTTGGACTACCTTGAGGCTTTGTCAGTGAATATTAACATGATGGATTCCATTTTAAACTTCCATCCATCTCTGTACGCTTCATTAATAACTTAACCCCTGAAAGATAAAGCCAACTCAATTTAAGTTCCTGAGCCTGAATCAAAACACTATGAATTTGGCTTCACTTGAGTGCTGTGGGTCAAATCACATCCTTTTACAAAATGAACAGTGTCTCTCACACAATAAAAAAATCACTTTAATAACCCAGCATTAAAGCTATGCCCTAGTGTACTATGTCTCAAATGTTGACTGCTGAAGTTATTTATGACTATGTCATTGGAAGTTAAGAGCATCTCATAGAAATTCTCGTTCTTCAGGTTTCACTTAAATCTCCCAACTATTCCAAGGGACCAATTCACACTCTAAAGCAATGGCCCTCATTGCTCTAACATTCTAAGTTTCTTCAAATCCAAAGAGCTTAAAAAAAAGCAGGAAGTCTCCTCCTCCTAAGGACTGCCCATGAGAAACCTAAAAACACAACAGTACTCAGATTGAAGAAGACTACAGCTTCATGGAGTGGAGGATGGAATAAGAAGAATCAAATTCCAAAGGCCTATTTCAGGATTCTTTCTACCCAATGACTCCAAGTCAAACCTTATTACAAAATGATCTCCAAATTCTAGCACACAACTAAATTGTAACTTAATTAGAATTCCAGTCCGGCTCCTAATGTTATCAACTTTTCATTCAAGTTAATAATGTTCAACTGTGCCTTTCCAAGTCACAATCAAATAGAGATAATATGAACACCAGAGGTAGAGAATTTCTACCAGTCGTCACCAAACTAACTATAAAGAAAATTTCTAAATAATGTTAACCATTGAACTGAATACTCAATCATAGTGGCCTATTTTACAACGTAAGCCTGTTCTCTCTCATGGAGTGGGTGAATTCCTGGGATGAGCACAGACCAGGCCTGTGGCAGAGCCTGAGAGCCTGATGCACCCAACACCTGCACTTAGCAGAGGAACCCGGCCCAGAGCGGTTAAGCAACTGATTCAAGGTGACGAAGCTAAGGAGGGACAGGACTAGAGCCCAGCCTCCAGAGGCCTAGCACACTGCTTGTGTCCCCAGGCTGTAAATTTTACAAACTACGAGATACATTTACTGAGTACCATTTTACATTTTACAACTACATGAGATATATTTATTGAGTACCATTCCCCTGTATCCACCATTTCATCTCATTACGATCTATGAAGAAATAGAAAATGTACAGTAGGAAAGTAAGCTTAACATCTAGAACACAATAATTTGATTTATCTACCTATACAAGAATATCTCATTCATATTTGTAGCCAATACTTTTAACAGATGGGTTTCATAAGTCTTGGAAACTGCCCATTCCCCAAAAGAGAAAGATGCA